CATATCTGGGGGGTATATATATATATATATATATATATAGCTTAATTATTTCTGTAAGTTTGGACCATCAAATCCATTTAAATTAATTTTCAATGGCATTTGAAAATGGCTCTAAACTCTTAAAACTTCATATTTTAAAGCACCCTTAAGCTTTTTTGTGCGTTTTCAAGTCTGCCTAAATTGAAAACCGTTAATGGTAGGGGAATGAATTTTGGCACATCAATAGAAGGTATGGCAGTGGCGGATCCAGGGGGGGGGGGCACAGGGGGCACCTGCCGCTCCCCGACCCCCCCCCCCCCCCCCCCCCCCGCAAAAAAAAGTTAAAATCAGCCCTAAATTCCCCCCAAATGTGCTCCCCCCCCCCCCGACCCCCAAAAAAATTATTAAAAAAAAAAATAAAAAAAAAAATATGGCAATGGCTGACCTAAAAAGGTGACCTTACCCCACCCCCCCCCCCACAGGTGTGGGGCGATGTAAATACAACATGAATAAATGGGGATATACTGACGACACAGACACCAACTGCGAGTGTGGAACATCCGTGCAATCCATGTCACACCTATTAAGATGTCCACTCCTAATCGACCCATGCTGCCTGGAAGACCTGGTGGCAGCAAATGAGAAGGCTCTCCAGTGTGCCAAGGCCTGGCAGAGCATTTGAGGACACGAAAGAAGAATACAAAGTGTATATATCCTTTTCTTGAACATGATATTATTTATTTTTGGTGCTTGATAAATCTTTATAGATATTTATCACAACTATGAAATTTTAGATGGTTACCATTTCGTGTTTTTTTTTTTTTCTTTTTACTTTTTTTTTCAGTTATGAGTTATGAGTTTTTGATCGATCAGGTGGGTGGTACATGTACGACATTACTTATTATAGGCTCTGTATAAGCTTGGCTTGTTAGAACTCTTGTGAGTAATGTGCCGCGGGATTCCATATCCTTAAACTTAAACTGGCGAACAGAGCAACAAGACCAAGCTCTATAATTATTAGGATCTCTGTCCAGTAGTGCCATGTTTGTGCCATCAAACTGGATCGACCAAATCAATTGATTCATAATATATGTATATGCAATATTTTTTCCCGTAACATGAGAGTAATTTTAATAGTTTCATACTATTAATTAAATGTATTGTTAACTGTAACTGTATAATTGTTTTAAATGGGGGCACGCTACAAGAGTCCTATCTCGCACCCCGGGGCAACGTGTCTGACACGGCCGGTTGATCAAGATTACAGTAATCTTGATCTAAGGAGACACAAACGGAACGAACCCCCCCCCCCCCCCACGGAGCAAATTAAAAAATTAAAAAATTTCTTGACCCCCCAAAAAAAAGTGTCCTTTCCCCCCCCCCCCCCCCCCCCCGTTTATTCAGCGGCTGGCTGAGTCATTGCGATTTTTTTTTGGGACTAAAAAAAAAAAAAAATAATATATATATATATATATGTGTGCCCCCCCCTCGTGTGCCCCCCGGCAAGAAATTCCTGGATCCGCGCCTGTATGGGACTCACTTCTTTTTAGTATTTTGGGCCATCAACCTACTTTAACTAAAGTTTAAATGGCTTTTGAAAATGGCTCTAAACTTCAAAGAAATACACTCTTCAAGAAGTCCAGATTTCCATCAAAGTGCCATCAGTTTGCCTTTGGTTGGAGAGAGGGGTTGGAGAGAGGGTGGGGGTGAAAGAAATGAGGAAAATTTGAGTAGGCCTACCTAACTTATTTACTATATAAACAAAAATAATAACAAATCCCTTTTAATTGAAATTCATGAATTGAATCCACGATCTTAAATTTAAAAACTCTGGGAAAACAATAAATGCCCTTTAAATCCTTGGCGTGGGTTCACAATCACAACATGAGAATAGAGACACCAGTATGGGAGGTGCACTGCCGCCGAGCTATCACCGAGTGTGTGTGTGTGTCATTTGGTTTTCATACACAGACGTGCATCAATCAGATATGATTACTAAAAAGACGCTGCCTGAATTAAATTGGAATTTAATAATAATTTTCCAAAGATCAGAAAAGCCTTCATAACAGTTATTTTATTTAGATTGAAACACACAAAAAAAATTTTTCTGACAAAATTTGATTAAATTTTCACTCTATAAATTGACAAAGATTACACAAGTTTGTTCTTGAATTTCTTAAAAAGTCACTTTGAAATTCAAAGTTCACTCGCATGAGGTGCGAGAAAAATTGCGAGTGGAAAAACACAAACATGTATTATTGGTCTTGTGATCGCTTTAAAATCTGTTTAGGTTACGTTAGCATAATAATTCCGTTGAAATATATATGTATTTACTAATTTGTTCGCCAAATGCTGCAAATCCTGCCTCAGTTTCGATATTTGAAGCCTCAGATTCATGCTCCGTTTCGGATCTTGATGGGACGGCAAGCGGCGGGTGCGGTGAGGGGCCATGTGGCCCGTCGGGTCTTCGAGCGAAGCTGGGTGCCTGCTCGTTGAAGTCACTTTCGCTCAGAGCGTATCGACTAGGGGTATAGTTGTTTTCATTGGATTGGCGCTCTAGCGCCATCTCGGGGTCATTCTTAATATTTACATGATCGTATTCTCCAGTAAATTCTCTTTCTTCTCGTATCGAAATTGAATTAAAAGTATGTTTTTCTGATATAGAAAATTGTTTCAAACTTTTCACTCTGATTTTTCACGATCTTTTTTAAACATACCCCCATCATTTTTTATATGAAAATAAAGCTTAAGATGTGCTCTTTCCAACCAGTGGATTTTTAAAACTCAAAGACAAATGGCGTTCAAGCGCATTGAGCTAAAACTAGGGATACAAATCGGCTGTCAAATAAAAATGGCGACAAACGAAGTGAGACGGTACGAATTAGAGGGTAAATCCCAAACAACTGTGTCGTAAGTAATTAATGGATTTTGATGAAAATGACATGACATGAAAGACAGAATCCTGAGCTTTCGAGAGACATATAATTTTATAATATTTATTTTTTCCATGATATGAAAATCTTCCTTCACAAAGAGAGAATTTGCATGGTTGAGCTCTGCGTGTCCCCACTCAATGCAGCTCTTCTGTGATATCTGTAAAAGAATTTTTGATGCTTTGAAGACATTTGCTGCTTGGTCAACTTTGTAACAATACTAAAATCCCTAGTTTCAACCCTCAACCAAACACTATATGTAGACCTTACCCTCAAGTTAAATCCCTAGTTTCAACCCTCAACCAAACACTATATGTAGACCTTACCCTGAAAGGCAAGTCCAACTCCAAAAATAACTTACTTTCAATAGAAGCAGAAAATCAAACAAAACAATTTAAAAAGTTTGAGTAAACTCGGATAACTAATAAGAAAGTTATGAATTTTTAATGACATGTAAAACTTTGAAAAGCACAAGACAAATTGGCAACTCACTCATGAGTTGTGACGTCATTGCCTCACTATCCACTAATTGTTTTCTTTATATTGATAATATAAATTTCCAATTCCCCCCCTAAAAATCTTATTTCCTCACACCAGCATCCAAGTTATATTGATAGTAATATGTTTTTGTGCGGATGCACTGATATAGAGTAATTTTGTTCAGTTAAATCACAAAAATGAGAATTTTGATATTTTATTTATATAAAAATCAATGATAATGAATATACAATATTCAGAAAATAGTATCAATTCTTCAAAGTTCATAAAAGATTTTGTGAAATGTCACGCAAGCAATATGATACAAATCATATAACCTGGGCAAAAGCATGGGGAAATCAAGTTTTGGGGGGATAAAAAGGGAAATTAATGGGATTGAAATATATAAAGCAATTGATAAATAGTGAGGCAATGACGTCACAAACTGATAACCAAATAGTGATTTTCTAAGTTCCATAGTTTTTCATACCGGTACTTTAATTAAAAATCATATCTTCATGATTTTACGCCAGTGGCACCTGATGTAAACTTCATTTCATTCCAATGATGATTTTCTGGTATGTGAGCATTCAACACAACACTTCAACAATCCACTTTATATAATTATTGGTTATGTCTGTAGGCAACATAATGCTATACATTGATCACAAAGTACTGCGGTGCAGGATCATTGAGCAAGCTCACTACCTGTGCAAATAAACGCTAAGTGACTTTAGTAGACTCAACAAAATAGTTTCATTGTCACCATCACCATCAATCAATAAAAATAAACTTTATCTACTCTGCTATGTTGACTTCAATTGATGCTAAGGCAAGCCAATTTGAGAGCCCAACCTTCTCTGTACAGAAATAAAAAAGCAGGTATTACAGCCATCGCTCCACTAATTATTCAACATTCTTATGGTTTGATCATTAAGGGGAAGCACACCCTGATATTAAGTTTGTTTTGATAGAAGCAGAAAAATGAGAGAAAGTTTTATCAATACCCAATTAAAAATAGGAACGTTATGAATTCTTCAAGTTGTCTTCAGTGACACATAAATTTGCAATACTGTGATTATCACAAGCTTCTTTCCAATTTGCTCTATACAGACAATTTCATAAACTTCCTTAACTCTCATTTAGTTATTGATGGAGAAATACAATTCTTTCATGCAGGGGTTGTATTAAAAACATATTTGCAATAATCCTATTTAGGGTGAATGTAATTTGAAGAGGAAAATTTAAAGGGCAAGTCCTATTTGGTTTTGATAGAAGCAGAAAAATGAGAGAAAAAAAAAATGAGAGAAAGTTTGATCACTGCACATGTATTTACATAAGTTTTAATTGTATATAGTATATTGTATATATATATATATATATATATATTTTATTGTATATAGGGGTTCTGCCTGAAAAGGCCAATGTCTTATGCAGTTCCCTTTCACATTTCAATTTTATCTTTACCCTTTCTTTCAGTATGATGTACTATTTTATTCTGTTATGTATGTTACTGCTATTTCATGCCAGTTATGTAATGTTTTTGCTGTTATTTGTGATACCTTGAAATGAAATGTGGAAATGAACTTGAACTTGTTTTCCCAATCACAGATTGCAGAGTATGATGTTCCATCTCAGGATTCTACCGCTGATAGTGATGACAAGCCCCGCCCTCCTCTAGATCTCTTCCAAGCCATCTTCCTTGACTCCGACTCCAGCAGTAGTAGCAGTGACGAGTATGACAGAGATGAGAATGATGATCAGAAAAAACATGAAGGAGCACCACAAAGTGAACTCCACACTGTGCAAGGTATGACTGTCTTCCTAATGAAATAAGCAGAGATAATAAGAGTATAGAAGTGGCTGGGGTTTTAAAGCTTGTTATGTCCAATCTTCAGTCTTTTGTGGTTCTGTAAAAGATGCGTTGTGTTTTTTATTGTACATTGATGACATCTTCTCCATCTCTCTGATCCAAAAGTTAAGGGGCAGTATTCTGAGGTTCATTTTATCTCAGATAAGACCAGAGATTTTTATCTCGTTGAGACACACCCATTTGTGATGCAATAACTAATAAGAAATGTTTCTAGATTCACTCTCTTCATGTTAAGCCCATAGAATCACAACCTGCCAGTCTGTGGGGCACGAGCGTGTGAATGTGTAATCTTGACAACTTTCACTATGCGTGCCTCAAAGTGCAAATTCAGTTTTGCTAGGATTGCCTCAAAAAATGACTGAAGTGGTGCAAACATACTATTTGTACATTAATATAGTGGGTCAGAAAGAGAAGAAGACACAAAAAGTAAGATAGAGATTGCCAAACAGACCAAAAAAGTAGAAGCAATTAGAAACAGAAACAAGACAAACAGAGATATTGCAAAGTGGAGAAAATAACTTTGCAACAGGGTAAGAGTAGAGGGTTGCAAATCGAAGAGAGAACCTGCGAAAAATAGTAATTAGAAACAGACAGCTTTAAAAGTGCTGATAAAAAAAATTAAGAGAGGAAAAGAAAAGAATAATATTAATTAATTATTAAACAGCAAGAAAACAAGACAAAAATAGTGCAAAAAGGAATTAAAAATTTGTGGAAAGAAGGGAAAGGTTAATGCGGTAGCTGTTAGAAGTAGAGTCAAATGAAGAGAGGTTTCAAAGTAGAAACAGAAATGTGGAAAAAGAGAAGAGAAATAGTAGAGGGATACTTAAAAGGGGAGAGGGAGATATTGGAAAGTGGAGATAGAAAAGAGGGAGGATAGGAAGAAACTCGAGCAAGAGCTATTAATAGTAACAGAGAGAATATGACAGATATGTTGCAAAGTGGATATACAAATTTGGAAATTATTACATGTAATTGATAAGGCTTTAGTGAGCAATGCCTGATTAAATGTTAAAATGCTATTATCTGAAGTTTACCTGCGCTTAAAAATGTCTGTTGTTTCTCACTTCTGGTTCGCACCCATTTTGTTTGCTTTCCTTTTTCAAGAATAAATGTTCAATATTTGCCAAATTGAACGTGCTATTGTTATACCATCTCGTTTTGTCCTGTCTATTACCTATAAGGATTTTTGTTCTTCTGATGAATAGTCTAAAGACCATGCGCCGGAGGCAGCATGGTTGGGATCTATGGATAAATTATGTACAGTATATACCAAAGTCAAGTCATGTTCATTAGGATCAATACAAATGTTACTGATGTACATGTATAGCCAGATTTTCTATGCCGACCCTCGATTTACCATGAATCAAAATTACAAAATAAGTTTGGAAGTTGGGTAATGGGGGGGGGGGGGGGAGAAGTATAAAGACCAGTAACTGGGTCAATACACAGGATTGGCTTTAGTATTGGTTTCAGGCAGGAAGGTTCTATTCAAAGTTGTTTTTCAAATGGCAAGAAAAGGTGCGGCAGGAATTTCATCTTTTAGACAGAGGCACTCCTAGATAAAAGAATTCACTCTTCTGTCCTTTGCATACATCCATAGTTACTATAGAACTTTTGTCTTTTATTGTGTTTTACTGAATATTATTTTTTTTGTGGTTTCTAGTCTAATAACACTCCTGCAAAAAAGTCTTCAGAAATCACTACTAGTATGAAACAAAATCACTTTGCAGCCAAAGTTGGTCATGGGGGATGAGGTGAAATTCAATTTGAGGGTGTCACACCATAGTTTCCCTTTATAGGTTAGGAACACTTTGTTAATCACAACCAATCTAGGCTCCTGTATTGAAATTTAGATGGTTTTAAATCCCCTATCAGGGAAACGTAAGCCCTCAATAAATTATCTCAAAATTTATCTGTAGCAGCAAGATAAGTTTATGAAGTATCTGCGAAATTTACGGTCAAAAGACTCTGTGGTTTTCTATAATATGAGTGAAAATTGAAGCCATCATTTTTATACATGACAAATGGGGTTCACAAATAAAACACTGCCAGTTGCAAATTCAGTTTGGACAAAAAAAAAAAAATGTAATTTTGCTAATAAGGAATGTTTTGCTACCGTACTTTTTTCTTTCAATGCCCTTTAACCTGTGGTATTTATTAGGTAATCCGCTGCATAGCATAAGAATCACTTGTTGATTTTGTCAGAATCTTTATTATTATTTCTTCCTTTACCTTCTTCTGGTTCCACTATCTTCTGCATGCTAAATGTCAAATCCTTCAAAGTTTTTAGGATGATTCCCTATCTTCTGGAATAGGGAATCTCCTCTTTTGGATGTGATTGTTTCTGCATGCAGTCATCTAGATGCCATTTTGTAAATTCATTTTTGTCAATATTTTCCAAATGTATTGATGTTCATTTCTGCATCAAACTTGGTATGCATGAACTTCAGGTCATGTGTCATCCTACAGTTACTTTGTCATGCATGACTGCTCTCTTAGGTACAAATGCATCAAAGTTTTAAAATTCTCAAAATGCCCAACTTCAACATTTTCTGTATGTTTCAGGTCATTTCAAGAATTACAACATTTTGCATGGTTTCCTTAATGATTGCTGAAATTTAAAAAAAAAAGTTTTTGAATTCCTTATAAGATTGTTAAGAATTTAAGTTATTTCCCTTCAATATCGACCATCCAAACAGCAATGCATGCACGGCAAACTTTAAAATGCACAGGTGGGAATCTTTAAAACTGTTGAAAAATGGTTTTTAAAACTGTTTTATTTGAATCAAGGATATCTCTCCAAAATGCCCAGTTACCCTCATTTTTTTATTTCATATTCTGATAGGTTATTAAGTGTAGATATGATTTCATATCAAAATGTTGGTGTAGATTCTGGCTAAAGATTCTAGGAATCATTTTTATGTGAAGAAGACCTCAATTTGTTTGAATGGGATACTTGCTCATGCAGGGGACTTTGGAGCAACACTACTAGATTGCCAATAAATGTTCCTGGTGCAAAGGGGATGGGAGCTGGGTCACGGACCTACTGTTTTTTCTATATTTCTTTCTTTTAGCAGAAACATGCCAGTGTATTCCTGTGAGAGATATTCTACTTCCAAATTTAGTAACGATCAAAAAAATATTAAAACCCAATTCTGTCTGTTGGAATTTTCTTTTCAATAATTGTTTAGTGAACCAGAAGGGTTAAAGTACAATAGAATTGCTTTTGCCATTTTAATAAAGCCAGGCTACCAAAGCCCTGGTTGTATTATGCACCTATTCATTGTGACTCTTTTCTATAGCATAGGAGAAAGAGAAGTTGTGAATGGTATCAATGGTACCAGAGGTGCAATAGTACTATGAACTAAAAGAGTTTTGTGAGAACTGATTTAATTTGGAAGCCTAAAAAATCATGAGGTGCTAGATTTTGAATAACATCATTGGATATACAATGTGCATGTTTGTTTCATGAATTGGATAACAATATGTAACACACTGAGTATTTGTGCGTGTCTTCGACTTGTACAGTGCGCCCCAGAAAAAACGAAACCGAGAAGTATCGATGTTCTATCATAACTTAATCACAACTATAATTAATGAATGATACATATTTGGAAAGCTTAGAGTCTCCTCTTTCATGTGATGCTACTCGGATAATGCATATTTCACGCATGAGTGATTAAAAGCAATTTGAAGGAAGGAAACCAAAAAGACATTTGGCGGGCGGTATCTGAATTTCGAAGAAAAATTCACATTTCTAGAAAGTTGAGTTTCTGCCCTTTCATATGACACCTCAATCAAGAAAAATGAGTGAGGAATGACAAAGTTCTGTTTGTTTAAAGTAATGCTTGCATTTCCATTATTTTATTAAACAAATTTGTTTTCACTGGCTGGCTGCCATATCAATAAACGAAATTAACAAAAGACTTAACTCCGTTTCGTTGACAATCAGCCGTAGATGAGAGTCTTCATGCATGGCTGATTGTCAACAAAAGGAGTTAAGTCTTTTGTCAAATCTGCTTTTTGCTACGGCAGGCACCCAGTGAAAACAAATTCGTTTGTTAAAATTATGAAAATGTAAGGGCTACTTTAAACAAACAGAACTTTGTTATTCCTGTCTCATTTTTTCTTGATTGAGGTATCATATATGAAAGAGCAGAAAATGAACTTTCTAGAAATATGAATTTTTCTTTGAAATTCAGATACTGCCCGCCAAATTACTTTTTGGTTTCCTTCCTTCAAATTGATTTTAATCACTCATGCATGAAATATGCATCACGTATGTAGCATCAACTGAAAGAAGAGACTCTAAGCTTTCCAAATATGTATCATTCATTAATCATGGTTGTGATTAAGATATGATAAAACATTGATACTTCTCGGTTTCGTTTTTTCTGGGACACACTGTATATGAAGTGCCAGATAGAATGCCCAAAGTTTTTCCTGATATTTCCAATAACCTCAATTAAATTATGGCAAAAAATATACTTTGCATTAAAAATGTTTGTTATAATAAGAATATTAATCTACATCTACACAGTTTAACTTTATTTGATGCAGTAAATAATGATTGAGCATCCCATTTGGCTATATACAAGTCGTTCGTAAAGTCATACGTAACTTTACGAACAGCTTTATGAACCACCCCCCTGGTAGCATGGATGATAGAGTGTTAACTAACCATACATATGAAATTGAGACAAAGAAAATTATATTATTGGATTGGAAGTAATAAATTCTTATTGATCGTTTCAATATTTACAATATCAAGTGATGAACTTAAAACAAGAAGGAAAATAAAAAATATCTTTTTCATGTGGAGGGCCTCAAGATCAAAAGAATAATGGAATTATGTCTGAAAATATGACAGTTTCTGTCCTCTAACTTTAGTAAAACTATCTCCTGAATCTTATTTAAAAAAAAGAAGCTTTTGATAG